CAAATAAGATAGGTGCTCCAGCTGACGATTTTGAATGATGGATGAAGTTCTTGGCTAGATTTTCATCGATGTACTTCCACAACTCCGCCAACTCCATCTGCGATAGATTGTAGATTGGACCAAAAGGCGATTGTGCTCCTTCCTGCAAGTCTATGGCGCAATCATACGGTCGATGTTCTGGTAGCATGTTGGCATTCTTCTTTTGAAACACGTCTTTAAAATCCTTATATTGCTCATGTATACTTATTGTTGAGATCTTCTCCCCGGTAGTTGAAGTCACATAAATGACAAATGGTGTGACTTCCTTGGACGATCTTATAAACGCTCTTGCTCCAATGAATAAGGATTTCTCTATTCGGGGTTTTCTACTAGGCTTGCTCTTGGATGGTTTTGTGGGAAAGGTCATCTTTTGCAACCTCCAATCTATAGATGGATTATGCTTTTCTAACCAAGAAAGACCAAGAATAATAGGATTTGATGGGGTTCTAATAATATTAAAAATAATATGACTACTATGGCCCTTAAACGTCACTTCTATAGGTTCTGATTCATGGGTGACACTACCTTACAATAAAGGTCGCCCATCTATGACCTCAACGTGAATAGATTTGGATTTTTGTACTAAAGGGATCTTATGATGCTTCGCAAATTCTTTGTCTAAGAAATAAGCAGATGCTTCTGAATATAATAATGCTAAGGTTCTCAGTTTCTGAGGGCCAATAAACAAAGGGATTATAAAGCAAAAGGCAGGTTGAGAGGAAAGAAAGGAACCTGGTTGTTGTTGCGATATTTCACTGTCCAGCGGCACGGTTCCTATTGTGGCTGGGCATCCTCGTTTTCCTGAACAAACATGCCCCTGGTCCGGACAGTGCATCGATTTTGCTTCTTGGGGCAGTTTCCAACTTTGTGGCCTTCTTCACCACAATACAAGCATAGACCTTCCCCCATATGCCGCTTTTTTTCTTCTAGAGTAAGGAATTTGACACGTACAGCATCAATTTACATGTCTTCTATCTCTGAATGTGAATTCACGTTGCTTGTCGACATAGTTGGGATATGGCAAACCATATGTTGTCTTGAACGTTGATCTTGGCGGCGTTGGAATAGGCAATTATCGCACTTTGCAGCTTGACTAATAGCTTCGTTGAGCATTTGCGGATCAGAAAGAGTTAACAGTAATTCCTTCACATCATCCCTTAAACCCCAATAGAATTAACTCATCAACGCTTCTTCATCCCAATTGATGTCGCATGCTAATTGCCTGAAATCTGATGCATAGACTGATGTAGAGCACATCCCTTGTCGTAGTGATCGGATCTTTGTTGTAGCCCATCAAACCTTGTCGTGTTCACCAAATGCTTCTGCAAATGCCTCCAAAAAGGTTTCAAAGTTATTTAGTATGGATGATCGTTTCTCAAACAAAGGAGCAAACCATGATAGAGCTTGCCTTGTAAGTAAGGTTCTAACAAGTCCAACACGTGACTCCTCCGTTGGATAGCGTTCGGGTTGTAAAATTGTTATCAACCTGATTTGGTTGACGAATCCTTGAAACTTGGAATGCATACCATTGAACTTGTCTAGAAGGCTAACTCGGGGCTCCTTATGGTGTAGAACCAGCGGTGCTTGTTGAACGTGAGGCAAAGTTGCTTCTCCAAGTACAGAAGTTTGAGGCTGGTGCAACCTAGATTGTGCCATCTCAGATGCTCCATCATTATGAAGCCTTGCCACGACTTCTTCAATCTTTGCAGTTCTTTGCGATAACATAGCGAGGGCATTCATGATAGCATCCAACTTGGACTCCAAACTTTCTGTTATACTAATGTCTTGACCTCCGGCCATTCTAAGAGAAGGATAGAAATGACTCTATAAGAAGGCAATATTGGATTAGAGGAGGGTACTCTGCAACCTCTAAAATGCCCTAAGAGATTCAAGAAAAGGGGTAATCCACCCTCTCCAAGAAGAATAAGACTCCAATATTGCAACAAAAGAAGTATCAATTTAGAGGAGGATAATCCGCAACCTCTAAAATGCTAGTACACCTCCAAGCAGAGGGGTAATCCACATTCTAACGAAGAAGAAACTAGCTCTGATATCTGAGGTGAGTGCAGTCTCAACAAACTGTTACGGACACAGAAATACAGGCTCAAGATCTAATAAGAAGTTCAAGAAGAACTGGCAAGAACTAGATTAATCAGATGAATACAAGAACAACACCAGAGAGGTGAGCTACAGCTCTAAGAGATGTGTTGTCGAGACTGAAGAATTCTTCAGCCTCGATTTTAATATATATTCCTTTTTAGGAAGCTTCTCAAGCAACTTCCATCAACTAGGAAGCTTCTAGAAGGTTCCAGAGACTTGCTTCTAGAAGGTTCTAGAAACTTGTCTCTAGAAGGTTCTAAGGACTATGTTCTTGACAAAGTGATTAATTAATGAATAGTCTTGCAATAAGAAGATTTGTCTTTATGAAATTACAAATCCTCCACTACTTACTCAAAATCAAGGCTCTTGGTAATACACCACAAATTCTACAATGATATTTGTAAAACCCTCTTTTATTAAATTATATTTTTGAAACTCTTTATTTTATCTTTATCCTAGTCAATTAAAATTTTCAATTAAATCTTTACATATATATTATTAAAGTTATTCTAAAATTATACTATATATTAAAATTTTATGATTTAAAATAAATTTGAATATAGCTTGTATTTATCTTTTGATTAATAAATAATTAATAAATATTTATTTAATCTAAAAGATTCAAATTTTATAATCAATATAAAAGTTAAAAAGTTAATTTTTAAATAAAAATCAATACATGTACGTATGTATGTATATATATATATATATATATATATAGAAACTATAAAAAAGAATTGATAAAGTACTCACTAATAAATATAACTCTACTACATTATACAAAAACTACTTCAGACATAATTTTATTAATATTGAATAAGTAATGTATTGCATACAAAATGATATAAGAAGTCTGTATATGTATGTATATATAGACTTCTTATATTCTATTAATATTAATTTTAAAATAAATAATATTATGTATATATATAATAATATATATATACATAATATTATTTTATTTTAAAATTAATATTAATAGAATATAAACCTATATTATTAATGATAAAAATATTATTTCTAAATAATATATATGTATGTTTTAAAATTAAAATTATACATCTAAAATTAATATTTTAAAATCCAAAAATATGTAAAATTGGTGTTTGATTGAAAGATAAATATTTATACATTTTAGACCATCCAAATGTCCATTTATGTATGTATACATTCTTCAAAAAAAATAATACTCTTTTATCACATTTTTGATGGATAACTATAACATGTTATACCTTAAATAAAGCAAGAGGTCCAAATGCTAATATATATATATATATATATCCACACACACAACCTATATGTTTTAAATTACAAATGAAGAACATCATACTTCCATTGTTAAAAGTTCAGACTTGGTGAAGTATGATTGAATGTATCACCACGAATGTCATTTACAACAATACATATTGTTACACATGCATTTTCATACGCATTTATGTATCAATGTACATTGCAGATTTTGTAATTTTCTGACATGACATAATTTGATATATTCGTATCATGCAGTTCTATTTGCATGAATTTGACATTGTGTTGATGTTGTTTTGATTATTATGATGTCAATAACTTTCTATTTTTCACAATTACAATAGTATTCTTAATTTAATCCAAAAGGTTCTTTCCAAACAACCACAAATCATAACATGGATGATGACATTTGGATACAAGTCTATCTCAAAGACCATAAATAGTGTGGAATTTGAATGAGAAGACTGACTCAGACATGGCATATTGCCAATGACAAATGCTTCACAGGCCCACTCAAGACTTCTAAAACTTACATTGGCCAAATGATAGCAATGACCACACTGAACCAAATCGAATTTGTGCATAGAAACACATGGTGGTGTGAAGGTGAGGATGAATTTGTACAAGGTTGATGTAATTGAGACACATAAGATTAAGAGAAAGATGTTGCAAGCTGTGGTGGTATTTGACTCCAAATTTGTTTGTGGGTTGTGATGATAATAGTGTTGTTACTATAATATTGTGAAATTGTTCATCTTTGATATATATATATATATATATACACATATATTTTATGGTTGTTGCATATGATGTATACATTTTCCAACTATGAAAGTACACATTTTCTGTCCATTTGTTATACAGCTTTATTCTTTTGTAATTATTTTTGGCAGTAAATGCTTTTCAAAATCCACAATTGTATTTTAGACTATGTGTGTGTATATACATATATATATATATATATATATATAAAGAATTTCATCATGAAAATTTAATTTTTTAAAGAAAAATATATATGCCTTTTTGAATGTTTGTGAAATATGGGGTTTTCTTTTCTTTTACAATGATTTTAATTGAGTATATTTCAATAAATAATTTTTAAATTTTTAAAACAGTTACTAAAGTCACTGACTTTATCTAAGATAAGTCTTTCATAATTTAAAATTGGTGTTTGATAAGTATTTAGTGATCCTATGCTCACTAAATACTTGTATTCAAACAGTTAAATAACTTTTCAATAGATCAATATATGATTTTTCTATTTCAAGATTTTATGTATTAAAAAACACAAGTCAACAAACATCATGAAATATTTATACACACATATATATAATTTTGAATTCAAATTTCCAAATGAACAATAACTGATATGTTGATAAAATGAAACCAAATCAATTACATCATACTAATCACACATGAAAAGACCATCAGTTGATTACTATAATTCAGAAATTCCCTAACTCTCTCAAGCAGAATCATGTAAATGTTGAATGATTTCAATGGAACACTGTCAAACGCAATTCACTCAACATGAAAAAGGACATCCACATAACACAAAAGAAATGCAAAAATGAATAATTGGGATTGGGATGTGTCGTCTCTTCGCTTCTCTCTCTCTCTCACTCTCTCACCATTTGTCTTGCTAACCCTAATCTGGCCCTGCCCATTGCAGCTCCCCTTGGAGCTCCCCCTTCTCCTCCTCCTCTGTCTACTTCGTCTTTGTATTCCCTCGTCGTTGTTTCCTTCACGGCGCAGGTTCTGAGATTGCGCACCGCACCTACGATTGCTGAGTTTGAGGCCGCGTTTGCGCTATGGCGGATCCCGAAGCGGTGCGCGTGGAGTACAGGCGCAAGCTTCTGCAACACAAGGAGCTCGATGCACGGCTAAGGAATTGTTAGTACCTGTGATTGGGGCTTTGTTGTTGTTTTTGTTCGAGATTTTTTTTTAGGTTTTTTGTTATGAGAGTCGGGAGGGTGCGTGGGGTTGAATGTGTGTTTGATGGGTTTTGGGTGATCCGATTGAGGGTCGGGTGTGGATGATGAATTTTTTGGGGGTTTGGCAGTGCGAGAGAACGTGAAGGCTGCGAGGAAGGAGTTTGATAAGACAGAGGACGACCTCAAGGCGTTGCAAAGTGTGGGGCAAATCATCGGAGAAGTCTTGAGACAGCTTGATTCTGAACGCTGTGAGTTTTTTTTATTTTGTTCTTGGGCTCCCTTTCGCGTTGCTGTTTACCTGGACTGGACGCCTTTGGACCACTGGGATCGTAAGGCTGGCAGAGGTTGTTTGATTGTTTCTGTGGAAGTCGATCCTTGTGGGAATTGATGGCTGTGTCGCAAAAGTGGTGTATCAATTAGGCCTGTTCGATTAGGTCAAAGCTTCGATGGTTTCTTATTTCGTCTTTTACTGGGGTACGGGCAGTGATTGTCAAGGCAAGCAGTGGACCGCGATATGTGGTTGGATGCCGCAACAAGGTTGACAAAGAGAAGTTGATGGCTGGTACTCGAGTTGCATTGGATATGACTACTCTCACGATTATGCGAGCACTTCCCAGAGAGGTGGGTTTGTTTGTTTGATTATCCGGAGTGATCCCTACATTCTGAAGTATAGGGTTAATAGCATCGTTAACGGCGATTTGGTTCTGGTATTGAAGTATTGCCTGTCTTGGGATTCTTCGTCGTGCTTTGAGTTACTGTCTTCGTAGTTAGGCTTTCTTGTAGTATTTTGAACTGATACTTGTTCATAGATACCTGGGCTGTCTAAACAGTGTCTGTGCTTACTTTGCCGATTGTATGCCTTTATATAAAAAATGTGCATGTCTGTGCGATTGTGTTAGGTTGATCCCGTTGTGTACAATATGCTGCACGAGGACCCTGGAAATATTAGCTACTCAGCCGTTGGAGGACTCAGTGATCAAATCCGAGAGCTCCGTGAGTCAATTGAGTTGCCGCTTATGAATCCCGAGCTCTTCCTGCGAGTTGGCATTAAGCCTCCAAAGGTGTGTTTTACCATCTGTCACTAATTTAGACTCAGTTTACGTAGTCATCTACTCCTATTGACATGCATTCCTGGCGACTGGTACCTCCACGATATTACATTCTGCCACGGGCTTCATGCGTGTGCGTGTATCGGATGGATTAAGAAGTTCAAGTTTTGTTTGAAATGCATAAGAGTTGATTAGGTCTCCTCTTTGGGCAGGTTAAACTCAGGACAACGTTTTCTTCCTCCAGCTATCCTTATTTTCTTCAAACTCGTGCAGGTTTTGATTACTGAATGTGTTAGAGAGTGTGCATAATGCCGGTAATAACAGGTGTTCTTTTACAGGGTGTATTGTTGTATGGCCCCCCAGGAACCGGCAAAACCCTTCTGGCACGAGCAATTGCCAGCAACATTGATGCTAATTTCTTAAAGGTACGAGGGACCTGAACTCATTGACAGGACTCAATCAAATCTGATTGAAGCAGACTTTTTGCTGAACTTGTTCGACCTTCTAGTAATTGAAGCTGTCACAACATATTTTGTGTAAATGTGGAGTATTCTGCAACTCTAGAAATATTAATGAAGTTGTGGAGGGGCTTTATAAGTTTTTTCGGCATGTCTTTATTCTGTTGATTCTGCCATTATTTTAATTTGTGAACACACATATGTGTGAAATTAAATATCTCTATTTCGATGCTTGCAAAATTCTGATTGGAGTGAACGCCAATTTTTTGTTATATGCTTCCGTATCTGACGTATGGTTGGGTTTCTGTTCAGGTGGTTTCTAGTGCGATTGTGGACAAGTACATAGGAGAAAGTGCAAGACTCATTAGGGAGATGTTTAGTTATGCCCGCGACCATCAAGTAACGTCTCTCCATCTGAATTTAGTTCATTTCTTTTAGACTAGGTAGTTACATGAGTTAAGCTTGATTTCGTGTTTTGAACGTCCTTGTGCATACATCGTTGTAGTCTGCTAATGTGCCAATCTTTACAGCCTTGCATCATTTTTATGGATGAAATTGATGCGATCGGAGGTCGTCGGTTTAGCGAGGGTACAAGCGCTGATCGAGAAATTCAGCGGACGCTAATGGAGTTGTTGAATCAACTCGATGGATTTGATCAGCTTGGAAAGGTGTGTTAAGATTCTGAATCTATCCTAGTAATAATAGCAGACACTATGGTTACTCTGAAATTTTTTGTCACGTGCATGGCAGCCAATATCTTGTCTCATTTTTCACATGTACCGAGGATACAGGTAAAGATGATCATGGCAACCAATCGACCTGATGTTCTTGACCCTGCATTGCTCCGACCCGGCCGTTTAGATCGAAAGATTGAAATTCCACTACCAAATGAACAATCTCGGACAGAGATTCTGAAAATTCATGCATCTGGGATCACTAAACATGGAGAGATTGATTACGAAGCTATTGTCAAACTCGCTGAGGTACAGTCCTTCTGTCTTCATGATCATGGTGTCTTGATTTACTTTCCATATATATATATATATATATATATATATGAATACTAGAATACAGAGAAGTTGGATAATACTATTCGTGCTTTATTCGACATGTGCTGCTGCTGCTCCTCCTCTGCTGTGAGGTTTGAGTTGGATGAACGCTGTATTCCAAGGGTTGTTGCCATTTTTGAGATTGAGAATGTTATTTGTTGGTGCATTTTATGAACTTAATGTGTAGAGGATTTTGTTTGTTGGCTCTCTTTTCTGTACTTCAGGGGTTCAATGGAGCCGATCTTCGTAATGTCTGCACTGAAGCGGGCATGTTCGCTATCCGGGCTGATCGTGACTATGTTGTGCAAGAGGATTTCATGAAGGTACGTTTCTGGGTCGTTTTTAAGGAGAGTGAAGGCTGTTTTGATGGATTAGTTGGGTCCTTTTTAAAATTGTGCTAATTTGAACAAACATAATACCTGAGCATATGGTGAAGGCTTCATCTTTTATATGTACAGGATCAGAGATTCATGCATCGAGACTGAATCTGTTTCTTTAAGATTATGTGAATAGATGCAGTTATTTAAAATCATTCTAAACAATACCTGTTTGTGAAACTTCAATATTTTATGAATGAAAGCAGGATAGAGAAAGCTATGAAAATTGTGTTTATTCCAAACCTTTGCTCTTTATCGCATCTTTTGTACCACTTGTCAGTGTTAATTTTGATTACACTTTCTCGTGTTAGCTTATCACGATCCAACATGTGCCCTTTTTCAGGCTGTTCGGAAGCTTACGGACGCAAAGAAGCTGGAATCAAGTGCACACTACAGCACCGATTTTGGCAAGGAGTAAAATGTTCAGTAATCTTTTGTATGTCTTGATTTTCTTTCTGAGACAACTCTGGACGTTTTTGCAGAGAGCTTGGAATCTCAAGAGAGCTTTCTCAGGCGTAGACAACGATATTTTTTAATGTTAATGTTCAGCTGCTTCAGGGAAATAAATCCTCCTCTTTGTATTAATCAGTTTTAATACCTTTGTACCTTTGAAGTCCCTATGACATATGTGTCAATTATCTAATTGCCTACGTACATTTAAGGTGGGTTTACACGTTCTTCTGTGAGTCATGAGAAAGAACAAAGTTAGCTCAAGACGTGGGCATTCCATAATCGAGCGTCAAGTTGGGTTCCGATTAGGTGTCTAGAAGTATCTACATCTACCTGGAATTCTGTAAGGAGGCAGCTTATCTAGGGTTGGCGGGTATACTGCAATTCCAGATGGGAAGTTGGGCTTATGCTAGCCGATGATGAGCAGCTGGGTTACCTTCTATCACAACATTCAACAATGAGACTGAACATTTTTAAGTGACTGGTTTACCTTATCAATTTTCCATTTGGGAAACTAACCTCTGGTTTAATCTCTCTATCGTCCTTGGTATTGTGTTCGTTCTACTGTAGTTAAGGTGTACAGCTGATTCTAACGTTGTCTCATCGTGTTGAGATCATGCATCCCTCATTCAAAGAACTATGTGCTCTTTCGGGTGTAGTTTTCTCTCGAGTATTAAGTTTCATCATATTTTTATGTTTTTATTTGTTTTTATTATTGGATATATATTTACACCGTAGAATTAATGCAGTATCCTCCCGTGGCAGTAACATCTTCATGATCCCCTAACCTGGTTCTCTCGGTGTTCAGGTCCTATTGCACCAGTTGTCTCTGATAATATGATTTTGTTGTTTAATATTAATTGTCCTCAGGCAATAAGGCTCTTCAAAAGTTACTTCTCTTTCTTCCGAAGGTTGGGCCATAGTACTTTGAGAAGGTCATTTTGTGCGAACTCCAACTTTGCCTTGATGAGTGGTGGTCTAGAAATGCCACTGTTAATCAGAAAATTACTACCAATTAACACTCCTTTTGATTCCTGCAGTTTATCAATAACCTAAACCGATTATCTTTGGAATCCTTTCTCCTTAAGGGATGATTTTTCCTTCTAAGGACATACCTATATGGTACCCAGTCAGATCTGGCAATGTACTTCTTAAAGCTGTGATTGTGAGGATTTTATTTACTTGTACCATAGATTGGTCATACAGGGTAGGTCACATCTGTACTCCACCGTCTCCACATAATTGACGTACACAGGTTGACTCATTTCAAGTTTTGCAATCCCACCGATAGCAGCGAGAATGCTATTACCTGACGGCTACAAAGTGTGACACGTAACGAAGTAAGAAAATATGCTGTTGTAAAGGCATGTCCAGATGAGGAGTATCTTGCGATAGGTAGTTAACTTCCAGTGAATCAGTTTAGTAGGTAAGAACTTGACCTATTGCTTTTCGAAATCAGAAAAACTCAAAACATAGCAGCAGAGAAATGTGTCTACCAAGTTTGAGTACATTAGAGACATGTTGTATTTAACAGTAGTTTTCCACTTCATACCAGTTTTATTCCACATGTACAATCATGCCACGTACAAATCACGGATCGCTTCAATATCGAATATGGAGCTATCTTTATTGTCCTGTCAGGCATCTGTGGACCTTGAAGGCCAGTCGAGGTCATCAGATTCATCGAAGACGGATGAATCCAGCCTCAGAACTCTTCAAGATCCATTCCGGGCGAAAGTAATCGGTGAAGAACTATCTTGTGAGCTCCAACTTCCTCCCGCCAAACTTAATTTGAACACTAATCATCGTCGCATCCCAATCCTACTGTTAGAGTTTCGTTTTGGAGCCCTTGTCACCCTGTTGTCTTCCTTTCCTACAATTCATCTTGTGAAGTCAGTTGTTTTTTTATGTTGGAGCAGCAGCAGAGCTAACTTTTGAGTATTTTGCTGTTATGTTTGGGTTTCTTTTACGGGACCGAGGATATGTATGGGTTCCTAACATTCCACAATTTTACATTGTAGGTGCACGCAACGAATGGGCTACAGCTTTGCATTTCATTTTTCCGTGTGAAAACTCATTACAATTGTTTTTCTTTTTTCTTGTCTGTGACTGTCAGAAATAATTGTACACGACTGTCAGAATTTTTTTACTGGTGGGTGTCTGACTCTGCTAGTGGACCTTCAGTTCTCTGCATGCTTTACGTGCCGCACTGGGTAGGTAGATATCGAAGGCGGTGCATTAGAATGAAAGATTTCAGTTGCGATGGTTCTTTTCTGTTGAGAACTTTATCGAATCGAGGTCCATGTTGATGCTAATGCACTTCGATTCCTTGTTGTATTCCCCGTCAGACTGATTGCGTGTATGTGGTCATGAGTGAGAAATGTGTAGGCTATTCGTTTGTCCTCGAGCAGCAGCTGCCCCACACCTGCTATCAAAACGAAACGGGTGTTTACTTTCATCGCTTCCATGTCCTTTTGAACTTTGACAATCTCTGATTAGACCTTGCCGCACTGTACTCGCTTGACGATCACTGCTCTTTATAAAGAATACTCTGCAGAGTTGCAACGTTACCGTGACGATGGGTGTGGAGACCCTTCTGCAGCTCTAACCCAGGGGTCTAAGCCAAAAATTGCATTTACCGATAATCGACATTTTGAAGATAGAGAATTTCAGCAGTGGAGTGGGAAATGTGTGGCAGAGAAGAGATGTTGCGGTGATCATGAGGAAAACTTACTCCGGCAGTTGCTCTTCTATACAGGGCATGAATTCTAGACTACAGGCAGAGGAAATTATGGAGAGTTGGAGTGGTTGATTGGGGAGCCGACAGTTATTTAGGAAGTTACAGCGACAGGGGCATCAGTTCTTGCTGGCGGCATACGATTATATTGAGATGGCTTCGAAGAGAGATAATGCCTCGCTAGTCCAGGATTCCTCGACGCAAGGCGTCACTACGATCAACCAGCAGGATACCAATCTGGAGCACCATGACAGCGGCATTAACGACAACCATGAGTCTCCGGTGAAACCTACAGGTGCGTTTTTAAGAAACTTCTTACTCAACCTCCCTCTTTGTGTTTCCAAGAAAAACTCCAGTGCCCAACTAAGGAAAACTTCTCACTTTTTCGCCGCAATTTGATGGATTATTTTAACTCTTTAGACATGCAGTAGCTTTATTCTAGTAATAACTTCATTTAAAGTCTTAGGACGTGGGTAGAGGTTTTCGAGAGTCTGGAAAATTGAACCTGTGTCGTAACATTGGCATGAAAACTGCATCCTGTTTATATCTTAACTGTTGAAGACTCTGTTGAATATTAATTTTGGCTCTGTTAGGCTTGTCGAACCTTGGTTTAGATCACTCAAAAAGATGTCTGGCTGATGATGTAGGAAAATCAGAGTGTGTATTTGATGAGAACAATTTCAAGGGCCTTGATGGAGAAGAAGCTGTTCCGGATCAATCTCCTGTTGAGGAGGTGGCCCTCACGGTGTCTACTCTTGATGACCCATCTACCCCAGTGTATACGTTCCGAATGTGGACATTGGGAATTTTATCATGCGCTATCCTTGCGTTTCTCAACCAGTTTTTTGCTTACCGTGCTGAGCCACTTATCATCAGTGCAACTTCTGCTCAAATTGCAGCTCTGCCACTAGGGCGTTTCATGGCGGCAACTTTACCAACAACAAAATTTAAAGTTCCATTCACTAATCTGGAGTGGACCATGAATCCTGGACCTTTTAACGTGAAGGAACATGTGCTCATAACCATATTTGCAAACTCGGGTGCTGGAGGCGCTTATGCTATTTCAATTGTTACCATTGTGAAGGCTTACTACAAGAAAAAAATCACATTCTTTGTAGGATTGCTAATCACCATAACGACTCAGGTATGACCCTTCGTCTTGTTGTGCAGCTTCTTTCTCTGATGCCCATCCTTTTGTGGATCTTGACGATTCATATTTGGATATTTAAATGTGAACTTTGGCTTTATGTCTGTTCAATTCGTAGTTTAACTCCGACTCTGAGATTTCAGCTCTGTGCCACATTGCTCCTAATTATCTGAAGTCACCAGGATGAGCGTGGTAAGTTCAAAAGAACTATTGGATCACTTTCTGAATCGAATTTCCACGTTAGCATTAATATGCTTGACTCCTGGCTTTGCAGATGATTGGATATGGGTGGGCGGGGATATTTCGGGATTATCTGGTGAAACCTGCTCAAATGTGGTGGCCTCAAAATCTTGTACAAGTCTCTCTTTTCAGGTGGGAATTGTGCTCGATCTTGAACAAACTGTTTGTACGAATATTCTAACTGCAGTATAGAATTTGACGGACGTAAGGTTGGTGCTTTGTTCTTTATAGAAGGTGGCTGCTTCGAGACTACCCTTCTGTGTCTTCATCATTGAATCCAAGAACGTAAACTATCCTTTTGTATCCAAGCCAGAAACAAAAAGATCATGCATGTATATTCAGTCGTTGAGCCAAAGTCAGAGTTTGATGTATAACCATACAAGAGTGATTATTTTTGATGAGAGATTTATCATTTTCTCATTATTTTTTTGGTATGCAGAACTTTACACGAAAAGGATCCTCGACCAAAAGGGGGTGTAACCCGCATCCAATTCTTCCTCATAGCGTTGACCTGCAGCTTCGGTTACTATGCCCTTCCCGGCTATATGTTTGCCATGTTGTCATCGTTATCATGGGTCTGCTGGGCATGGCCCCATTCTGTAAGGGCTCACCAAATCGGATCAGGATTGAAAGGGCTAGGCGTTGGTGCAATTGCGTTTGATTGGGCGACCGTTTCATCTTATCTTTTGAGCCCACTTTCTACACCTTTCTTTGCTATAGCAAACGTATTTGCTGGTTTCTTATTCGTTATGTATGTGATTACTCCCATCGCTTACTACAACAATCTTTACAGTGCGAAGAAGTTTCCTATATTCTCAGGCATGTTCTTTAGAAGTGATGGCCAGCGATATGACATCAACAAGGTTATTGATGAAAATTTCGCACTAAATGAGGCTGTCTACGATGAGTATGGGCAACTGCATCTGAGCACATTCTTCGCTTTTACTTATGGAGTTGGATTTGCTGCTCTTACGGCCACTCTGTCGCATGTTATCCTTTTTCATGGCTGGTACTATTTTTCCCAATTCCCTCTCATGTCGGTTTGGTATTATTATTATGGATTGAATAAGAGAATCTACAATACTGTCCTGCTCATATGGATCAACTGGCACCCTCAATGTAAGACTTTGATGTGGCTTCGGATTTAGGATCAGATCCAATCTTTCCTGACGCAGTTTTTTTCGACAGGTCATTTGATTCTGTGGTTTGTCTGTTGGACTCGCGAAGTTTTAGACATTCTCTTGTTTCACTGCTTTTTATTCAGAACAAGTGTTACGCATGAGTGTACGAGGAACGTATGTAATGCAGAATTTCGAAGCGAATTAAATTGATGAGTTTAGTGATGTATGTATGCCAGGGATATATGGCAAAGGAGCAAGTCGAGCTTAAAAGAAAAGCCTGATGTACACACTCGGTTAATGAAAAATTATAAAGAAGTTCCTCAAGCGTGGTTCCTCGGGATTTTGGGTGTGATGATTCTTGTCTCCATTGTAGCATGCGAAGTGTACAATGAGCAGCTACAATTACGATGGTGGGGAGTGCTTCTTGCATGTGGACTGGCGTTTTTCTTCACACTTCCTATTGGGGTGATCACTGCTGTTACTAATCAGGTACGTCGTTATGAATGTGCCTTCTTGCAAACAGTTGTTGACATCTGATTCTGATGGTTTAGGAGTACATGATTGGTACATAAATAGTGAGTGCACCCGATTCTGAAAGGATAGATTGGAGCTTCCATTTCGTCGGTTCGCCTGTGACAGTTTATACATGCCTTGATCGAATGTCTCAAGCCTTTCTTTATGGTTTTATTCTCCCAGTTGCTTACACTAGCACTACTCTATGATTGCATACCGAACATTTAATCTTTTTTCGGAGGACAAACAATTAATGTTTTTAAGCGTGGAATGTGATTACAGACACCTGGGCTTAACATAATTACTGAGTACATGATCGGGTACATATACCCTGGTAGGCCTGTCGCGAATGTGTGCTTCAAGACGTATGGATATATCAGTATGACTCATGCTGTCTCTTTCCTCGCTGATTTTAAGCTGGGCCACTACATGAAAATTCCTCCACGTGCTATGTTTCACGCTCAGGTACTAAGTCTTAATATTCTGCATCTTCCAGGCCCTGTTCTTTTTTATAACTTGTACAAATTGAATTCTTCGCCGGATAGGTCTAAAATCATTGACGTTCGGCATCACTCAAAGGCATGTTCAAAACTGTCATCTTAGTTGAAATTATCCCTCAATTGAATAAGTTTTTCAATTGAAATTGCCTTGATTCCTGGTTAAGGTAATGAGAACAAGTGAAGTATTTCTTATTTCGCCCATCCGAGTATGAAGTTGCAGTATCATTATTCTTTCGTAGGTGTTTGAGTCTTTTGTCATTCCTGTGAAGTGGTGTTGTACGATTTTTGTGTGAGACCGATAGTGAAAATGCTACTTTCGTCATTTATGCAGTTGCTTGGAACAGTGATCGCTGCAGTCTTGAACCTTGGCACTGCATGGTGGTTATTAACATCCGTCCCAGACATATGTCAACAAGATCTTCTTCCTGCCAATAGTCCTTGGACGTGTCCTGGTGACACCATCTTCTATGACGCATCAGTGATATGGGGTCTCATAGGGCCCAAGCGTATGTTCGGTAGTCTTGGACTCTACAATGCTGTAAACTGGTTCTTCTTGTTTGGAGCTCTGGCACCAGTTCCATTCTGGGTATTGCACAAGATCTTTCCAGACAAGAAGTGGATCACTTACATTTACACTCCTGTTCTTATAGGAGCGACTGGGATGATGCCCCCTGCCACAGCAGTGAACTACACATCGTGGTTCTTAATTGGTTATATCTTCAATCATTTAGTGTTTAAATACCGAAAGGGATGGTGGCAGCGCTACAATTATATTCTCTCCGCTGCTCTTGACGCAGGACTAGCATTTATGGGGGTGCTTCTATATTTTGTGCTCCAGCTAGAAGATAAAAATATGTCTTGGTGGGGTGAAAACCTTGATAATTGTCCACTTGCAGCCTGCCCTACCGCTCCCGGAGTGACAAGAAATGGTTGCCCTGTTTTCTAAGATGAGTCGGTGTAATTACTTGCTGGGTTGTATATGCTGGAGTCGGTTCTTACGATGACCCCATCTGTATCCATCGTCTTAAGCGGCTCCATTCAGTTGAGCTTGCTAAGGCAGCCCTTGTACTATTGTATGAAGTGAGCATGAGCCTTACAACTCATCAGCACAAATATTCAAATTTAAACGTATCATTCTTTTTCCAGCCACACTCATACTGTTGTTGTGGAAATAATTCACAATTTCAAATAAAGTAGGTTTTTTTAAAAGTAAGTCTTTCACTATCACGATAGGAATATCACAGTATTGTACAGAATGATGTATATTACTTGTATTTAAAGTTATCCAATAATAGATTTTAATTAATGGCACGTGTTTAATTAGCAATCACTGTCTTATGACTAATTTCAAATAATAATTAAACTCTCTGAAACTAGGCTACACATGTGAATATAAAAACCTGAACGACGAAGAGAAGAGTAACTTTTGGATATGAATAAAGTATTCAGGTCACACCTATGCTGTACCTAGATTACTCCATATGTTTGCAATTTGTCTAGCTCGAAACTACAGTATTTTCAGAGAAGAATATGGTCTCACACGAAGAGGCTTAACTGTAGAAAGTTGAATCTATCCATTCAAAGTTTTAGTATTCTGGTGAACGTGATATCCAGTGAACAGTTGTATTCAACTATAACTGAGGTTTCTTATTAAATGCATAATTACAGCACTACCTCAACTCAGTGTCCTGGCATGCCTTAGGGTACAGCAACGTTTGGTTAAAGCAAAATGAAGATCCTCAAATTATCCAATTTTCTCTTTGTAGATTATTCCGTACAAGGACACTCCAGTCCCAAAGATACACCACTAAAGATAAAGAAAACATTAACCTGTTATACACTTGTTTAATATAAATTTACCGCGCGACGGAAGAAAGATTTTAAAGCGTAGTCGTTAAATGATCATAGTTAAACCGATCTTTTGGTAGCATAAAAAAATATATCGAATTATGGAGATACATGTTGTGAAATGACATATTGTGGAGGTTAGACTCTACTCGCATTACCTACAAAAAATCCTACAACCATTTCATGCAAAATCTTCGCGGCTAAAGCCTCGAAGGTAGCCGTCTCTGCCACATGCACTAAAAAAGTGTATAAGGCGGAATTGCCTACAAAATCAAAATCATGCAGGTGCAATAAAATCTCGATAACTTATGAGGATGATAACTTCAAATCTCATCTGCGTCCTTTTCTTCCGCAAGCTCTGGTTTGTCGTCATTTACAGGAGGCGGGGGTGGTTGTTCATCCTACATTTCACAACGAACACATCATGGGTTTCAACAAGCTGGGGTTATCCCACTGACAATATGAAGCAAAAGATTATATGAAATAGACACTGGATGGAAAAAAAATTGGGATTTTAACAATCATTTAACAGCTGGCTTAGGTCTGACCTCAGGCAAAGGTTCTTCGGCATAGTCATTTTCAAAAGCATCTGCCGGAACAGAGTACAACCTGAAGAAACGGCATGTCAGTCACACAAGCATAGGATGGTAAAGTGATAAAGCAAAAAGCTAATCCATCACTACAATACATATCTACCAATATTTACAGTATCCTGCACTAGCTGGTGGGCACTTGATCGCCACATAATAATATTTACTAAAACGACAGTTCGACAAATTCCCATCCTCATTTTAGGATTCTCATTTTCACCATACAAAGTTTCTCAGATAGTTTAGCAAGATATTTTGAGAAACATGTTTTGCCGAGCTTAAGCTCCAGCAATAAGATGAAGAAAGAGTTTCTAGGAGATTTACCTGACGATAGGTTTGTTGGGGTCTTTCACCAACAAATACTTTCCCTCGTCCAATTTCATACACATATCCACAACAGTCTGCACAGAATTTCATGTCCCAAAGAAGAAGCTTGAATATCTAAGTCCTCGATACATTTAAGTAAAGTACCATGTATAACTTCATAAGAATGCTTTATGGCCCTAAGATATCCACCAAAACATCCAACTGCGACAGGCCAGAATAAAGAGCATAAGTAACAGAAACGAACCTTCAAAATGCCCCACATATTGTTAACATTAAGATTGATTTGGCCAGAAAACTCTTTGGGCTTGTAACCTTGCATAGTGAGCACCGCATGGTTGTAGTTGTCTTTAGGATGCACCCTTGAAACATACCCTAGCTTCATCTGTGTTAGAAATCATAATGTGTTATTTCACAAACCAGCAAGCAAATATTAAGTTGCTAAAAACAGGGACATATATATATAATGGGAATACAAACTATATCGTGTCTAGCACACACATACAGGAAAATCCACAATGGAAAAGTCAATAAATCCCTGTGTACTACATCAATAAAAGCACACAAGGTTCAGTTTTCACTCGGGGTTATGCTGCTGCTTCTAGCTACCTTTCTCAGACTTTCACAAAACACCTCCAGAATCATTTTGGGTTTTCCATCATAGGCCTCCCGATGATAAGCAACGATTTAATCAATTTGATCCCGGTTAAGCCAGTCAAATCTGAGGTCAATAGTTCAATGTAGGTCTTTAATTGAGATGCAAAGACACACCTGGTCAGCTCCTGACAAGAGAGCTTGAGCTGTCCACTTGGCCAGCTTGTTAGCATTGTTCTTAAGCTCAGTTGCGAGTACCTGCGTACATATGCCAGCTACTCATCAAACACTACGAGAATCGTAGCTGAATTAATACAGTCAACCTAAAAACCAAAATGTACCATACCAGTAGGCACATGAAATTATCCATCTTGGTCAGCAATTATAATTTGAAACCGATTTAGATGGAGAAGACAGAACGAAATCACTCACTGCTCCACGCTGATTTTCAATCTTTTGACGCCAATCAACACCCGTGATCCTGGAGTCGAACTCGTTCAATGCATTAATTGTCAACAGGATCTCTGAACCTTTCACGTCTGCCACACCGTGAAGCTCACACCTGGCCACCAAGGTCGTTTCCTACACACCCATAATCATCACCAAAGTTTCAATTCACATGACAAATAATTGCCTTGGAAAAGTTTCAGAGACAACTAATCAGGTATATTTATAATATTGGTCATAATTTCTAGATCAAAGTAAACATGAACATCAACTGCATGTCAGTGAACATCTGTGGTTTACCTCATCCAATTTCCACTTCCGATATCTGTACGCAACAGCTGCCACTTCTTCATTCTCCGAAGCAAAGGGGTTTGGCTCCTTGAATTCGAACTTCTTTCCTTCCTGTTTTGAAAAAAATAAAACAATAAACGCAGCCACATAAACAAGAGAACCATACTCATCAACAAGTAGAACTTTCAAATGTATTGGATTCAATGCAATTTTCACATGAAAATCTGGAGCATCAGAAATAATACTTGAAAATGAAGACAACTCTCACCTTTTGCAAAACTTGCTGAGAGAAGTTCTGATTAACAAATGTGGCCTCCTGGCTCAACGAGTGGACCGAATTTATACTATCTTTCTCTTCAGGAATAGGCTCCTGTGCAGTCTCGTAAACCTGTAAGAACATACACCATTCAATTGTCAGGTCGGGATTTTATAAATATCTTACACGATTCTCGACAATAAAATGCAGGCACAATAATCACATCTTTCAAATGTACATCCCATGGAACTAAATCAAAAACGTTCTCCAGCCCTAATTCGACAATCGTGTTGATGGTGCGACTTACAGTGAGGAGATCGAAGGAAGCATCACGCTTGTCAAGAAAGAGTTTATTGCCCACTTTCTGGATAACGATATCCCATGAGTACATTGAGCGAGGTGAGCACATAAGTGTGGCCAGAATAGTATCGGTAGCAAATACAGTACCCACATTCTCGTCCTCCAAGAGCAACCGCCTGAAGTGATCCACAGATTTAAACCATTTAACAATAACAACGAAGTAATAGGAGTAGGAACGACATTTTAAAAGTAAGTTTCGAGAGTAACAGGAATATGCCGGGAATGCGATGGGCGCGTTGTCAACGCAACAAGGAACTGAATCAAGAAAAATGGAAGAGAATTCCTTCCATGTATTCTCTGCGAAGGCATGATGCTAAAATGAAAGATGAACACACCTGATGACAGGATCATCAGTAGTTGTAACCTTGTAAAACGTGCGGTTTTCGAACCTCTCCAATGCTTTCTCCGTCTGTGCGGTCCAAACAACAGTTTCAGCCATAACCAATACTACTTGGTACTACTTAAATATTAAAAATCTCACGTAGCGGGAGGCAGATTACGAAGTCTTGGTTTCTTCATCATAAACCAAGAAAATAAGTGGGTACAGACCTTTGGTGTTACACGGTCAAATGTTTTGTCATAATATTCCAAGGATCCGCATGTTGTACTGCAGAAACATCCAAATCAAAATCTCAACAACTTCGGAAGCGCAAGACACACATCAATACACAGGTGGTGTAAAATGGAATGATGTAGAATTTACATGTCCTCCGGCTCTCCCACTTCGTAGCTCAACTTGGAAAGAGCTGTAAGAGGAATCTGTTCCAGAACTGCCCACTCTGGTCGAATATCCACCTGAACCAAAAAGTAGATTCCATATTAGTAAGAAAGTCAAGGTAGAAAAACCAAATTGATACACGTAGAGCTGCAAAAAAGGAATAAATGTGAAGCATCTGGATAATTGAGAATGCAAATACCCGTGACCTTCTATCGGAGCATTTGAATAAATGTAAAAGGTCGATAAATTAAGATGGGCAATTACCGAGCTATTGTAAACAATACGAGGGGCATTTTTGTCCTGCCAGTAAGCATTCCACTGTCCTCTCTTTTGCTGCTGCAATCTTTCTCTGCGTTGTCTTTCCCTGTCAGCACCAGCACCACTATCGCGACCACCATCACGCCTGCCTTCATCCCGATCTCTCCTCTGGAATCGCTGCAATCCCGCACATAACACGCATTGCAAGAATCAGAACCCAGTGAATTTCATAACGCGGATACATGCGAAATTTAACTCAGGACTAGTGTCCTATTGTCTGCAGATTCGTCTTAGAGACAGTGAGTCCAACTAAGTTAAATACATTTCAAATTTTAAAACGACAGAGATCAACTCGAAGCCACACGCACAGGATACTTTGAATGCATAAAGATCCTTGCGAGGAAATGAAAATGCTAATTAAAATACTCACAATGCTGGGTGTTGGTGCTTGTATTTTCACAAAAATTGCATCACTTTTGGACTACTATCTTGTCTGATGCATTTGAGTGCATTGAAATTGGGAATACCTGCTGAAATCTGCGTCCACCGTACTTGGGTCGAGGAGGGGGTCGTGTGTCAACCAAATGAAAAGAATCCTAGAGATGAAAACCAATCACCACTAATGAGAAGTGAGTTTCAAGAAGAGGAATCATAAAATTGAAGCGGATAGGATAGCACAGACCAACATAGACAACATCGCCGATCACATCAAAAGTACGAATCACAGTCACAACCTAAATAATTTAGGTCACAGATTTGAAAAATGTTAGTCATACCTCGTCCTCATTGTGAAAGAAGTTGAAAACGGAGGCTCCGCCGGTATTATTGCGATCATTGAACCGACCTGACCAGATGCATCACAAAACGTCAATGATCTTTGTCCTCATCAAGACATTGTGCCAGTTCAATCCAACACTACAAACTTCCAAACTTGCCCCTCCAACCTCGCCCCTGACAAGAGTACACCGCAGAATAGAGCTGTATAATCGCCCTCGAGGACCTTACGTTACTCAACGCAGGAGCAGAAGACCATTCTGAGAATCCACAGCCGACAGCACCTACCATTGTTATACTTGAAAGTTTGCCCCGTCCAATCCGACGCTCGACCTACGCGGTCACCCTTACTGAAAGGCGCATACGGCACATGCTCCAGCTGCAATGGCACGCAGCCCGCATCAGGTCCCCATCCTTCAAGGTTCTCGGTGACCTGTGGCACTGCAAATGCCACCGCCATAGCTGTGAAAACTACGAGCTCCCTCTGCTTCCCTCAGCAGCTGCGCTGACGGTTGCCACCACCCACAGATGAGATGAAATGAAATGAGGAGGTAAGGAATCAGGATTTAGGGTTATGCATCAATTCGGACCTCATGGCTAGGGCTACAGATGACGAGTCGTGGACATGTCAGCGGTAACTGCCACGGGCTTGGGTGTGTTTCAGACACCGACTAGGTCACGGTGCCGGATCGTAGTCTTTCGTCTATTTTGCGAATTCCTTTGTTTTCTCTACGTCTCTGTTGCAGGTCCATCGAATCCAAGTGCAAACATTCGCTCTCCAATTTGGTTAAAATCTCAGCATGCAACTGATTTTCGACGGAGTTGAGTCAATACATTTATTGAGACATTCTGATCTTTATGAGAACTGGAAGAAGACGTTCGGAAGCAGTAGGCAGGACGCTGTGAGTGAATGAAGATGCGGTTCTCGCTCTGATCATTGGTAGGTGCTTGTAGAAACACAAGTTTCCTTGGGTCTGAATGCTGCATGAGATTCTCAGAAAGGGTGACTGTTCTGATCTCGCGAAGTGAGGCTGCAGTGGGAGGAGGAATGAGGTGCCCAAGTGGGTCACTGTCATTGATTCGAGACTGCTGTTCCGTTACTTTACTCGAACAGCAGCTGCAAAAGTCGGCGACCGCCGCCGTTGTTCTGCGATCTTCACTCTCGTTGTATTCGTGGTGTCTACAACATGGGTCTATTTGCCTGAGCCCTGACTTCACACCGTGGATCTAACCTAGCTTCAAGATCCGCAGTCTTTCTCTCGACAAGAAAAAGGTAGGCTCATTCATGTCCCACGTTCAGAAGTGCTTTTAAAACAGCGATGCCAGAGTTCTCCGTGTATTTGATAGCAACATCCAAGCCAGACTGTAAAAATTGTTAGGTTGACGCATTAGGGCAGCACTTTTCGCATCAGGGGGGCTCATGGAGCTTGATCTCAGAAGCGAGGTGCACGGCTTCCTATGTTTATGTGAGAGTCCTTAAGAAGACCATGAAGCTTCAGCAGCAAGCCCATCCTCATTTGTAGTCTCTACAGCCGAGTTCGTGTAATCCCTGCAGGAAATGTTCAGCTCTGCTGCAGTGCCACCACCAACTGCAAATTCTGACAAACACGAGACAAAAGAGTTGCAAATGAACGAGTGTGTTCCTTGAAAAATGTTGGATCGAAGAAGATTGTACACGGTATCAAGCAATCCAGGTTGGAAGAAAACCCACGCGTCATGTCGCATTTTTTTGTTTTGTTTTGTTTTATTTAATTGTTCGTTTGTTTGTTTAATTAGATTGGAGACCATGCTCTGATCTTCTTTGTTGACTGTATAGCAGTGTTGAAACTAGCAAGCACGATCCAAGGAAATGCTGCCCATAAAGCAATTGTTTCCTCATTAATTTTAGGATTGAAATGTCTGTGTTGTTATCAAGAAGTTCCACGGCCTGAGAAACCTGTTCTTATTACTCTCCACACTTGTCCAAAGGATCAGAGACAGCAGTAATGTGTGTATTTATATATATATATATATATATATATATAGATAGATAGATAGATAGTAGTGAGAGATTATGTTGATGAGCCTAGAGACAATCTTAATCAAATTCAATTTATTGGAATTTGTTATTGAAAGACAAACAAAAGAGAAAAAGAATTACAAAACAATTGTTATGGTTTTGTTAATATAATGAAATGTGAAGGACATTTCCTGATTCAATACATGTTGCAAATTTCTTGCAATTTATGTGTGGAATAACATTGATTGGAATAAAAAATATCTATGCTGGGGGATGTTGATTAGGTTTTTCAAGGAATGCAAGAGATTTTCTTTTTTTAATAAAAAATATAAATACATTGAGTGAAGCTAGTGCACAATTGGTTTTAAATGAAAATAAATTATTTTAAACTATTTGAATTGAGTGGTTTATAGATAATTATTTAATCTCTAGAACTACAATTATTTATATGTAAAATAAATTAAAAAATGATGAAAATTTTGATAATTTGCAAAGCCAAGAAGAAACTTAAGACCATAGTTGAACAAACTATGTATGTATTGCAATGAGCCAAAAAATGTTGTATAATATTTTTTAAATATAAAACAATCAAGTTTTTGAGGAACAATATTAATTGGTGATAGTATCTTATAAAACAAAACAATGTTGTCTAGTATTAATAGGAATCATGTGGCTCTCACTTTCCTATTCAAATTTCTAAACCAATTCAATATAATCTACTCTTTTAATTGTATGTTTTAAATTTTTAGAGTTTGGGCTTACAAGAATTATTAGTGGTTAGGATTTTGATATTACTCTTATTACTTATTATAACTCTCTTTAACCTAATGTTTTTTTCGTAATTTTGTTATTTTTCAATCTAAAAGCTAATTCTCAAATAAACTAGCAACTAGTAAATTAGATTATAAGCTAAAGCAAAAACAAAAATAAGGAGAAAATAAATTTATACCACAATAACATCAATATTATCCCATACTTGAATAAGTTACAAATACACATGAATGTTTAGATTTTATTAGTAGATATTAAAACAATGCCAATCATAATTAATAAAAACAACTATTTATTTTTCTTAGAAAGTTGCCACAACAATATATAATTACTAAATCAAAATTTGATAATATCATATCATATTCTAATTGTTATTAGATCAAAATTAGTAAGCATATAAATTATTTTAGATACTCATTGTTTATATTATTTATTATTACACATTAAGCTTCTCCAAAGAAATAACATTATTCCTCAAACACATTGTTTATTGCAAAATTATATATATTTCATAGTTGATTTCTATAACAATGAATTTTTAAGAGAGATATGCAATAAGGGGCAAGTTGTTATTTTTATTATGATGTAAAAAGTTCTAAGCCAAATACAAAATTAATATGTGTCTTCTCTTTTTACTTTTTCTTTTACCTTCCTGTGTTGATTTTTTAAATTGAGTTAGAACTCAACATTTGAAAAGTTGAGATAAAAAAAATTGGAGTATTAAAAAAAAAAAAAAAAAAAAAAATCATTTCAAGTAATTATAAATGATCTAATACAAACTATTGGGTAATTGACAAATGAACTAATAAATATCAAATATGAAAAAAATCCACAAGAATTACAAAATAGTTGACACACACAGACAAAACAAATAATACATTGACCCAATTGAAAATGGAACCATCAGCCTCTCACACTATGGCAACAAAAGGGCATCACATTTTAGATAAACATATTAAATACCCTTCCTATTCAAAGCGATTTGTTTCTAAAACAATTAAACATAATATACCAAGCAAATGCGACTATTCATCAAAGCATTCAACCCCTGACACATGTGAATACGTTTTAGAGGAATATCTCTGTATCAAGAATGAGACAAACTTGCCAACCGAACAGATGTATACAAACTGTGATCCAATGTGACACCAGCTAATCGTAATTCAGAGCGAACTGGACAGAGATTAAACATGCAAAACAACAACAACCCATCACGTACAAGTGTACTGAAGCCCAGAAACAAATACCTTCAGTGTCACGATATGGCTGCACTTTTCAGGCTTGTATAAAATTTACACCTGTGAAGACCATTCCTTAATACATGCTTGATTGGTTTATGAAGCGGTGAATGCTTCATCCAGTGCATACCTTCCTGTTCTCAAGTCTGTTCGGCCATAACTTGTGTTTGGAACTTGCAAAGAGGTTTTCGAGAATCATGGTAATCAACACACATCAATCCAGGGGATAGACTGTGACTTAGAATATGATTCAATTAACGCACGAAATGACAATCTCACAGGGCAAATCGAAGAGGCTTATCGAGTTTGGTGATTTTGTAGCCTCGTCACACCCAAGAGACGCGGTTAGCCCTAACCCAGGATCTCAACGGGCGAGAAGGTTGTAAATTCTCCATTTCTTAGGTAAAATCTTGCCATAGGTAAGGTCATCCTTATGCATGCCGTATGATTGTAAGGATCTTACGAGGTTGAAATCATTCTGGTGCACGAAGGATTTACTTTCACTGAAGGATTTGCTTTTTATCAAAGTCTTGCCTTCCGAAATCGAACCTTACACTAGGATTGGCTTCGTAGGCTAATGCGCCATAGCTGCTCTGTTATGTTTGATTTGTGCAATCAAAGTTGCAGGTGGAATTCAAAAAGGACGAACGCCAATCCGTGCGTGGGAATTCGAAAATTCGCGGGGCCGACAAACTTTGACTGGCTAGCAGTTACTTCGAAAGATCCTCGGATAATTTTCAGTTGCCAATTTTTAGGACCACGGATTGGAATTCCGAAATCGAAATACTCACCGGGTTTAGTTTCATTGAAATCATCGAAACTCTGGCTCAAGGATCGTACGCCTGTATTGTCGAGTCTGAGGGTCAATGTTGTTGTGTTGTGTGGTGTTGACGATGTCCAAATCCTTCTCCTTCCTCTTCCCATGTACGAATTGTGGTAGTACTTTCTCCAACCGCAATTCCTTCTACGGCACATGCATTTCGTCATGAGGGAATCGTTGACAGCCTTAAACCTTTCACAAGCTATTCGCAAGACGCCACCCGTGCATCAAATGTCTTTGAACGAGGAGACACTTCGGAAGAATGCGAGAACACAACTCCTTCAATATTGAGATCTCTACCCTTATCTCGCTTTCTATCTTGCAAATTTGATTCCAAGATCACATCCTCACATTTTCGGTTGATAACTGTGCAATCAAATCCCAATTGCTTGTTCCGTAGATTTCCTGATTCCCCTGCATGACGGAAAGAGGAAGCTGTCGTAAGCTGGCGTATTTATATGGGAGGTTCGAGTACTGTGGTGCTGAAGATAAACACGCCTTGAGACAGATTTTCGTTATGCGGCTCAGCATTGCTATTTGAATTGTTTCACCGAATACACAGTTCGGCAAGGTAAACCTGTTAAATTCTGGTTATTACGAACTCATGAACTGCCGTGTGAAGCCGACTATGCGGAGCTCAGCGACGCGCCACCGGGTGCAGCATATATTGCGAATTAATATGACGCTGTCGATCCTTTGAATGCTTCGGTAGAGCATACTATAACCTGTGCATTGTGTTCAGGATGGTTGGTTCTCGCTTGCGAACATGCTCAGTACGAAGCAAACAACTGCGGTGTACCCGAAATTGAGGGCCGCGACGAAACTGGAACTGTTGATTAAATCCGCATCGATGTGTAAAAACTTCACAGTTTGTGTATATATCTGATATGTACATATTGCAATATGTGTACGTGTGTGCGCATATTTAGTTCCTCTTTGACACAAACCTCTTTCGCAGAAGCGGGGGATGAGTAAGCTCAGTGAAGCATCTGGAATAGGAGATCCGAACCTGGGTAGCACAGAGTCATCAGAAGTCGCACCAGTTGTCGAAATTAATACTCCACGCTGGTTTTTTCAGCGACAAGTCCTTCGCATGGACACATACAACTCCTTGTTTCGTCTCTTTCAGACAACCTAAGCTCCTGTAGCGATTATCGATTCCAGATGCTTCCATTTGACATTACAAGGCGATCACAACGTCGTCACCCAGTGAGCAGGCCCAGAGCCATGGCGATTTTCTCCGATGTGATGGATATTATTTGGTGTTCCAGAACGACCCCGCAGGACTCCAATGGCCGTCACATTCTCGGTTGTCTCCCGATCCCTAAACACCTGTAAAGCTCCGTTCTGCAATATTTTTGGCCCCCACCTTCTGTATTCAATTCTTCATTTAGAACCATCCCCTAAACTGTTCTTTTGAATTAGCAGGTTTGGATCCAGAAATGAGGACGTTTACGATAACCATGCCATCTGTAGGTGTCTTTGTCTTCGGCGTTGCAATATGCTGTTTTTGCTGCTTCAAGTATGGCCTGCAACGATGGTATGACCGAATCACAATGAAAACACGAACGAAATCCAAACAGGGTATCACGTACTCGGTGAGTAATAATTGGGTCAGATGCACCATACTCAAAATACCGTCATCAATCCTTAGAATTCCACGACGGCAACGGGATTGACAAGAAATCTATGTGAATCTTAACTTGCAATTGATCCAGGCATCACTTCAGCGAAAAAAACAGCAGATAGAGAAAGCTTTGAACAAGGTAACGAAGCTGCGACAAGTTGAGCCAAGTCGTAGAGACCTTAAATACGAAGCTGTAGCATTGAAAGAAGCCATTAAGATGATCAATGAACACCTACGAAACAGCGATCGTTATTCGGATTTCTGTGAGAGAATGAAGCGACCCGGCATCGATTCCGCCACGAACAGGAGGGTCTCTTTCGACACACGTGAGAGCACATTCGTGAACCCAATCTTCAACGCCCAGCAGGCGATCGATAGTGGTTACATGATCGACCTTATGAAACAGGAGGAGAACGATGGCAAAGGCTTGAGAAGCCCAGGCATTTCTGACGAAGAATGTCGTAACCCTAAGCATAAGGAGTTGGAGCTTTACTTGCTGACAACTGGAGGGTCAATACGTCCATCCATGTTGTGGTATCCAGGGTCAGTAGCTGCAAGCCCCACCGCATATTTTCCTCCCTCTTCAACCCTGTCATCACCAGGATCACAGGTTTCTCCGCTTGGAAGCACAGAAAGTGATCACGAAGTCGGATCGGCCAATCTTTCTACCCTTCATCAAGATGCAGCAGGGGAGAGCACCACATTGACCCAGAACGTGCAAATGCAAAACGTTGCACGGCCTGTTATGCCGCAAACTTGGCAATTACCAGCTCCCTACGTCGTTCAAAACTTTGACCCCTCATCGAGCATTGGTCCGAAATTCGATCCTGGTCCTGCTCAAGGATCAACTATCGGTGATATATTTCCAGGATCACAGCCTAGAGCAAGTCCTTAGCAGGAGGAAGACCCTTGTTCCTCCTAGCCTTGTTAGGAACAAAGTTGAGTCTAAGAGTTGATTTGTCGAGATTATCTCTGCGACCATGACCACGAAGACACTGTATCCTCGGCAGGTGAGTGATGAAACTATCTCAGAAGTGAAAAAAGTATCACACCAGAGCATACTTGAGTATCAGAAACTGTGGCCACGTCGATGACAAAAATACGAGGACTCATCTTCACAAGACATTCCCAATTTGAAAGGTTTTAACACTGCAAAAGCTGTGTTACCCTTCATTAGACCTCAGATTATTAAATAATTCAACACTAGAAAATGATCCACCAACACTAACATGAACCACGCTCGGTGTTAACTACAAATGTAACTTGGGCAGGGCTCTCCCATTTCTATGTTGTGGTACATCAAGACTCACCAGTCTAGCACTCTGAAAAGTAAAAAAATCAGGATGGGAATCATCGCACGGTTGCCTTAAGTTTCCTGTTCGAGGAATACTTTTCAAGGAAAAAACATTATTCTTCGTTCAAGAACTCTTCCTCTACTTTAAAAGCTTTTTCCGTCATCTCCTCTTATGTACAGTGGGGTACAGAAATAATTCGAATTTTTTTCTAGAGCACCACTTTTGCTGAAAAAATCTTGTTGTTCAATTGAATGCTATGATCATGTTGGAAGGAATCTTTCCCCGATACTTAGCCATCTATTTTTGGAGTGCAAGAGGTGTCTAATTACATGTAATTAGCCATGTGTCTTCAAAATCAGATTGCAAATGTGATGATTAATGTGGAAGTGGTTAGGTGAGCTAAAAAATCGCAGTTACAATTAGGCATGCATGCAGCCAGCAAAATGGAGTGATAGCATAGAATGCTTGGATGGGGTGACTTATATAATCCATCTGAAGATGTGAAGCACATTGCACTGCCACAGATTGAGATTGTGAAGCACATACAAATTTTAGAAGTGTTCTTTTTTGGTTTTGGACATCGTTAGCTTCAATGACTCCTCTCTGTTAAACTAGAAGTTGGTTTGTGTTGTTTGAAGGCTTATAGCAAGCACCATGAAGTACAGAACATTGTCCCCTATGCAGAAGAATCAGATTGTGGGGATGAGGAAGGCTGGGATGAAGTGTAAGGACATTGCAGAAGTCTTCAGTGCTCCCTATTCCACCATTTCAACTATCTTGAGTCATTGGAAGGTCCATGGAAGTGTGGAGTCGTTGAAATCACAATGTGGCAGACCCAGGAAGTTGTCTGAGCGGGATTTTCGAGTGTTATGTCATGCTGTCAGTTCAAATAGAAGGCATACTCTGGTAGAACTTGCAAACTTGGTGAGTGTTTCCCGAACTACTGTTCGACTCTACCTCCGTGAGCTTGGTTTTAGAAATTGTATAGCACCTAAAAAGCCCTATTTGAATGTCAAACATAAAGCAGATAAGCTTGCATTTGCACGTGCTTATGAGAGTTGGACGTTTGAAGATTGGTGTAATATTATTTGGACGGATGAGTCGTCATTCAAAACTGGCAAAAATCCACGGCAAATTAGAGTGTGGCGGAAGGCGTACGAAAAATATAATTGGGATTGTATAGCACCAAGTTTTAAGTCTGGGCGTAGTTCAGTGATGGTTTGGGTGCCTTTACTGGCTTTGATAAGTCTCCATTGGTCACCATTCCTTCAAATAAGAGATCATCAAGTGATTTTGTCACTATTGTTTATGAAGGAGTATTAATTGGCTTTTATTTCTTACATGATGACCCTGAGCAATTGATATTGATGGAGGATGGTGCTCCAGTCCACCGTAACTCATTGCCAGTGCAATGGAGACGTGCTCATGGTATAGAAAAGTTGTTTTGGCCTGCCAATTCACCGGACTTGAATCCAATAGAGAACGTTTGGATGGTTGTAAAAGATTTGCTCAAACATCATAGTAGACCTAATAGTAAGCTAGAAATGATAGAAAAAATTCAATCCATATGGGATACCATATCTATAGAGTGGCTTCATACATTGATTTCCACTATGCCTTATAGGATGCAAGCTGTGATTGCAGCTGGAGGTGGTAGTACGAGATGGTAGATAGTATGTAACAAAAAGCTCTCTTGATGTATATTTTCACAATTTTATAATGAAAAATTGTTACACCATGAAACTAGATTCTACTATCTTCGCAATGCACTTTACGGCTCAAAAATGCGTTCATTTTTGAAACTGCTGGAGCTTTTTGAAGTTCAGTGATTTCTAACACTGATTCACTTTGGAAAAAAATTCGAATTATTTCTGTACCCCACTGTACATCATAATATCCATATCCATGACTGGATGAAAGCGCAGAGTTATGATACTTGACAGATTAACACTGAATAACTGCTCGTTTACCACAAACTGGACATGGCATGGTTAAAACATTCACCCATGACACATGAAATAAGATAAATCAATTCACTGTCTAAGATGCTACAAAAATTCTCCAAGTGATGAGGTTAACGAAGTCACCATGCGGAAATAGGGCAGAAAATTGTCTTAAAATGTCTACAGAATGAAAGTCGACGACAATGAGATAACAGACCGCATCCTCACAAGGTGCTAACGTAATCCTTGAAGCTATTGTACTTTGGTTGCCACCCAAGTCTTTCCCTAGTTTGACTGTTATTCATCTTTTTCCCGAGAGGACCATCACTTTCTGTACAAGGTCGCACAAACCAGGACAAGTTTAGAGTCGCTTCTCACATCTTAGCACATCGCATAGTACTTGACACAAACATTCCACAAAGTTAATGGTTTTCTGAGGTTCCTAAAACAGACAACCCTTAACACGTTGAGTTTATCTTCAGATCCATTCTTGTAAATAAAATAAACAAAGGAGCAGTGCTACTTACTAGTGAATCCATGGAAATTTCCTGCAAATTTACCACTGTGCATCATGATGTCCATAATGTCCTGCCTGCAATTCACAAACAGTAAGGTATTACTATGCATTGTGAAAGTTTTCAATCTATTACTCCAGGCAACGACTTTCACGTAATGAGAGTTACGAGGGCCTACAAAATTGTCGCAACAACTCATCAATACCGACCAGATTATCATCGTAACATGAGTAGAAAGAAAGGATTTGGCATACTTTCTTCACTAACCTAGAAACAGGTGTGTTATCACAACCCATGAAGATTTGACCACGTAGATTTTTCCGCAAAATTTCGATGCACAAATCAGCCGAGTCCTGCTAGACACATGAAAAAGTCAGAACCATGATACGTGCGATCAAAAAAGTTTACTTTGATCACCAAAACTTGTTGCCTGAAATACATGTCAGTCCAAGGCTCCAGCTATTCACGAGCAATTACTGAAGTTTTCAAAAGATAGAAACCTTTAGCTTGAAATGCACGTGCAGAGCATGTCACAAACGCTATGACATTAAGATACTGCTCACAGAAAACCAAAGATGATGCAAATAGTTTTCAAAAGGTTCACCTCATAATGAATAAGATTCAAAAAATGGTCGGGCCTGGCATCTACTGTTCCTTTTTGAAGCCAGTACATGTGCGCTCCACGATCCCGAGCGTGCACATTGAATCAAGAATAATACACTAGTATATTTGAATATTAACGGATCGAAACAACGCCAAGGTCTCAGCATTGATGATAACATTGCGAGAATTTCCGCAGCAATAAAAACAGATGGAGCACAGGAGAAAACTGTTCATTATTCCAACTACAACTAAACTGAGTGATAATCTGTGCAATGACTACTTTTCCCACCTAAAGAGTGACGTGCACATGGAAGGTAGAAATACTAAAGCAAATCCTACACACTCTTTAGGCATTCAAAAGGTCAAAAGATAAAGTATACCAGTTGCAGGCAAATTTCACTTCGAATACATGAACAATAACTTACTGTACCAACTGAAATGGTTTAGCATCCCCACAGAATATAAAATTTTATGCGTGGAGGATATATATAGGCCTGCCAATCGTACAACGTTTCCATCGACCTTCAAAACCTCCTCCTCCGCATTCAGCAATCTATCCCCACGAGGGCTCGTTCCTTTCTCAGTTATGGGCGCACTCTATTTTAACAAATCATTTTCGCACCACAAAATAACTGTTAAACTTCCCATCTATTTGCAAATGCAAAAACATTTGCGTTCTACATGTAGAGACTTAAAACGTCCAGATCTACTTTAAGACGTCGTCCATATAAAAACATATAAAATGATCTTAGGTTTCCGAAGTCTAGGTGATAAATGAATAAATGTCTCCATCTGAGCAGAAGATGACTTAAACATTAACTGCACAGGTGTAGGCTGTGACCAATCAACAAAGAAGCAAGCACATGAGTGAGAGACACACGGCCATGAAGGTATAGACGAGGCCTACCTCATCACAATGGCCATTGTCATGAACGTCATAAACAAAACTGCTAGATGTGAATAACAATGACCCCTCCCCATTCCACCTCTGAGCTGCTGCCCTGCACAATCGATATACCGACAGTGCGGAGCTGGTAAGTTGATTTGTCGCAATTTTTTTCTTATACCACAAATTAAACTTAAGTGCATTAAATAAATTCGCATGCCACAATTATTCTGGTTAAAATGATTCAATCCATTTGTAGAGCAGAAAATCTTACAACCTGACTTCTGCTGCGTAATTCTCACTACCAGACGGTGGAGCGCAGAATATCACATAAGGAAATTTGTCTCCAGAATGAGAATCCTTTGTGACTGGAAAAATGCCGAGCGACAGCAATTCTTCATGTCGGTTGGTGGTATTCGTCTGTCCCACAACTCTACACCCTTCATGCAGCTGAACACCACACCATACCACACCAATGTCAACTTCTTTGGAGACACGCACCAGATTTACATCGTCTTTCTTAAACTACCTAGAGTTCACCAACAGTTTAATGTGTCATAGAGCTACACGCTCATATCACACTCCAACTAAGTGAACCAAGCTACATCGCTTTGAAATCGATACGCATCACAATAAAAGGGCTTAATGATGAAGCGTGATTCCAAACGCAGGTCTCCTACCTCTAACCAACGTCGGCCTACAAGACTACCAAGCACTCCAGGTCCAACAACCAGCAAATCAGCATGGGAGTTGGTCGTAATTTGACTCCTTTCTTCGTTACACTCTAACTCCGTTTCCTTCCCCGACATTTTCGCTCCGCACCTGACGCGTCTGAACGCAACCTAGCAAACGCTGCCAATTCTACGAGCATTAATAACATTGAATCACTTAGCCACACCAGCAAACCTTAGAGCAGCGAATTCCAAGAGTATTAGAAACAACGTCCTTGTGAAACAAATAGCATCATCGGGCTTTTCTGTTCCAAGAGGTCAAATCCACAACTCAAACTTCATAATGCAGAACAATCAAATTCTCCCTAATCAAGCAGATACAAAAGGCGCTCACAAAAATTCACCGAAAGCACAGCACATGCAGCAGAAATCACATAATCTCGGCAACGAAATCACGATCGATTGAACGAGCTGCGACGCCGCTGCAAATAGTGAGAGATCGTGGTAAGAAACTCCAAAATGGCCGACGACGCTACGCCAAGCTCTAGCTTCCTTCCTTAAGAGAGCGAGAGAGAGCTCGGTTGGTTTGATATCTGGCTCCGGGCATTACCACAAAATACCCCAAAGCTCGAGAATCAAGTTCATCCCGAATCTCCCGACACACGGTCCCACCACCCCCATGGACCGCGACTGTGAGCCTCCCACCCCTCTCCTCGCACGCCTTTCTTTTAAATTTTTATTTTTCGACACAACAGTAATTTACCAGGTACACTAATTAGTGTATACATGTAATACAATGAGTAATTAATATAATTAAATTAATTGCAAGGTATTAACACCTTGCTGTTTGGATGGACTTCCAAGTCTATGATAGTTAGTTTGTCACTATCAGTTAATGAATTGTCAATTCATTGATTGATGTATTTTGTGATTTTAGACTATTATTTTGTCTAGTTTAATTCCAATATCTTGTACGTCATTTTGGATTTATATAAACTATATAGATTTTTATTTTTTTTATTTGGAAGAATAGAATTCTAAGTTATTTTTTAATTGTAGTTAGAATTCCATCCTTCAAGGAGCAAAGTCCTGCTACAATTTAATATAATAATAGAAGTAGAATGTTCTAATTTATATTTCTCAAATTTAAATACAGATGAAAAGAATCTGTATTTTAAAACTTTTCATAAAAATTGGTATTCTCTAAGTATTTCTCCTGTTGAGTCAAGTATATAACAAAACCAATGGAAGGTATTTTCACTTATACAAATCATGCAAAAATAATATAATTTAATAAAAATCTGATTTAAGTGCATACCATAGAAACATTGACCTTTGTAATCTTGGATTTAAAGATATGATTCATTCTTTGCTAATTATTTTTATATGTTGTAGAAAAGAAGTATTAATCATCAAAGATTATAAATTATCAAAAAAACAAACAAATTTAGATACAAATTTAGAAGCTTATAGTTGGAGTTGATAAATTATTGAAGATTGTTATTTGTTAGATGATTAATTATTGGAAGAGGAGAGACAAATGTAGTTGGTGATATAAGTAGTTCTTGATATAAACAAAGAACACCAATGTTTTTTTTGTATCTATCTTCAAAAATAAAATAATATTTTGTTTTTGTATGTCCAATACTATTAGAAGCATACATTCCTCTTTTAAATCCATTTTCTTTTGCAAATAATTCATTTTATTGTTGTTTTTCTCACAACCTCATCACATTGTATTTTTTTTATTTTTTGGTTTTAAGAATTACATCTTGTGGTACTAATAATATACATATATATATATATATATATATATATATTATTCATCAATTACTGAGATGAAAGATATCATATTAGCAAGAAAAAATATATGAAATTATATTATGGTTTAAAATGTTGTGTGGTATTATCACAATTTTGAATTCTTTCAATGATTCAAGATAATGTTTAAATTACAAGATGTCATCAACTGAATGTATTAAATTGAAATTTAAAAAAATGTAAGATCAATATAAATCAACAAGTTATGAGATATAATGGCAATTGTGTAACATTGCACAATATTTGTGAAATCACATCATATTTATAATATTTAAAAGATTATCAAATTACAATAGGATCCACTTATTTGTTTTTAAAACAACAAGATAGTATAATTTATTTTTTAAAGAATGTATATATATATATATATATTAAAATAAACTTATACAATAATTAAAACAAAGATTCATAACAATTTATATATTCCACTTACCACAAAAATCATGATTTTGTATCATAATACATATATAATAATAATAATAATAATTATTATATATATATATATATATATATATATATATATATATATATATATATATATATATATATATATAGATAAACTTTCATATTATCTTATAGCATATCTTTTATATTATGTTGTGTCAAGGACATAAATCTTGAAGAAAGAAAATCCTCAATACACACTTGTGTCACTGAAGAGAACTAAAAAGTCACTCAAAGATGATATAATATTAAACTAGAATGGCTATTGCCAAAAATAAAAAGACTAAAAAGTTTTAAAATAAGACTAAACTCTAGAACGGCATTAACAAGAGTAAAGAAGGCTTCACTCTTGCCTCCATATATATTCTTAACTAAGAGCTATGTGGCAATGTTCTATAGGACCTCCAAAATGTGTTGACTTTGCAAGACACATATCTTAACTTGCAAAGCAAATTTTCTATATGTGCGCCACATAGTTAGCTTGTTCCATAAGTTATCAACATGTAGTTAACTTGTTGACTAAGTTTCTAACCTACTAATCAATTACAAACATATGTAAAGTCAAAGCAGCATCTATAAAGCTTTTAAGAAGCTTCTCTAGAAGGTCTTATGAAATTCATTTACGTTTATTTTACTTCTACCTACTGTTACTTAATCATATAGATATTTATTAGAGTACCTATGTATGTCTGTAAGATTAGCCCTCCTTTCTAGAGATGAGTTCCATAAGGAGTAATCTTCTTATGTTGAAGAAATCTAAGATACAACAAATTGTATTTGCCACATACTTTGAACTTTGTTCTCTTTGAAGATGGTTGATAGGTCCTCTTAGCCATCGATAGTTTTTTAGATTAGAACAAGAAGATTACCATGTTATTTGATTATTGTTAAGGCCTTTGTAAGATTTTTTTTTTTTAATTCCTATGTGCATTCACTAATATCATATCTATGCTAATAAACAAGATATTATAATTGGCAAAAAAAAGTGTTTGTTAAGTAGAAGAATATATCAAATTATTGTATAGAAATTCTCACAATGGCAAAAGAGTTGTCCAATCATCTCAATGATAACTGATAGTACACCTCAAATACTGCTCTAGAACTTGATTCACTCATTTTGTTTGTCCATCAGTTTGAGGATGAAAAGAAAAAAAAAGCTTTATATCCACATTTAGAATCTTGAATAAGGTTCTCTAAAATCTTGATACAAATTGAGTCTTCCTATTTGATATAATATCCTTTGAAAATCTATAATAGCAATGGATATTATCAATGAAAAGCTTAGCTATTTCTTCACCTGAAATAGATTTTATACATGGTACAAAATAAGCCATTTTGGTGAAGAAATTTATGATTATGAATATATAGTCATATGAACTTGAATCTGAAAGATGTATAATAAAATCCATAGAAATAAAAGACCATCATTGTTCAAGTATAGACAAGACTTAGAGAAGTCCACAAGATTGATGACAAGGAGTTTTTAATCTTGAAAAAATGTCACATGACTGGACAGAGTCTTTTACCACCTTCTACATTTGTAGCCACCAAAAATCTCTACATATAAGCTCTAAAGTCTTGTTGTATTCAAAATGTCCCACTATTAAAAAGTCATGACATACTCAAAGAACATGTAAACGTGTTTCTTCTATTGAAACATATAAGAATTCTTCAAAATAAAGAAGGTTGTTCTTGAATTCAAACTTTGAAACATATAAGAGTTCTTCAAAATAAAGAAGATTGTTCTTGAACTCAAACTTTGAAACATGATGAGACTTAGAAGAAAGATTCTTGATATTATGAATAAGACGATTAGAGGACATACTGTCATGGACATACATTGGAAGATTCTTCGAATATTCTTCTAAAATATTCTCTAAAGATTCTCTAAAGATTCCTTTAGAAGGTTCTAAAAGATTCTTAGAATATTCCCTAAAGATTCTCTTAGAAGGTTCTAGAATATTCTTAGAAGGTTCTAGAATATTCTGATAGATTCTAGGAAGTTGCTCGAGAAGTTTCCTAATTAGTAGAAGTTGTTGGAGAAGCGTCCTAGTTAGCGGAAGTAGCTCGAGAAGCTTCCTATTCAGTAGTATATATAGGAGTCGAGGCTGAAGGGTTCTTCAGTCTCGACAACACATCTCTTGGAGTTCTAGCTCACCTTTCTGGTGTTGTTCTTGTACTCATCTGTTTAATCTAGTTCTGCCACTTCTTCTTGAACTTCTTGTTAGATTTCAAGTCTGTATTTTGTGTCCGTGACAGTTTGTCGAGACTGCATTTTCACTAGTATCAGAGCTAGTTCCTTCTTGTTAGAGAGTGGATTACCCCTCTTCTTGAAGGTGTGCTAGTGTTTTAGAGGTTGCGGATTACCCTCCTCTAAACTGATATGTCTTCTTTCTCAATATTGGAGCCTTATTCTTCTTGGAGAGAGTGGATTACCCCTCATCTTGGAGTCTTAAGGCGTTTTAGAGGTTGCGGAGTACTCTCCTCTGAACCAATATTGTCCTCTTGTCAAAACTCTTTTTTCTTCTTTCTGAAGGTTAGCCGAAGGTTAAGACATTAAAATGGCTGAAAGTTTGGAATCCAAACTAGACGCCATCATAAATGTTCTTGCCTCGTTGTCACATAGGACAACAGAGATCGAAGGAGTCATGGTAGGACTCCATAACAATGGAGCATTTGGGATAGCGCCATCTAAAGCATATCAGCTTCAAACTTCTGCGCCAAAAGAAGCAGTTCTACCTCCATTTCAACAAGATCGAGTAGTCCTACAACGAAAGGAGCCTCGAGTTAGTCTTCCGGATAAGTTTGATGGAACTCGTTCCAAGTTTCGAGGTTTTGTCAACCAAATCAGGTTGATAACAATTTTACAGCCCGAACGTTATCCGACGGTGGAAGTGTGTGTTGGGCTTGTTGGAACCTTGCTTACAGCACAAGCTCTGTCTTGGTTTACTCCCTTGTTCGAGAAGCGATCGCCAATCCTGAGCAACTTTGAAACGTTCTTGGAGGCGTTTGCAGAAGCATTTGGCGAGCATGATAAAGTTCGATGGGCTACAACAAAGATCCGATCGCTACGACAAGGAACACGCTCTGCATCAGTCTATGCCTCGGATTTTAGACAATTGGCAAGTGACATTAATTGGGGTGAAGAGGCGTTGGTGAGTCAGTTTTATTGGGGCTTGAAGGATGATGTGAACGACTTGCTGTTATCTCTTCCTGATCCTCAAACGCTCAACGAAGCTATTAGCCAAGCTGTAAAGTGTGACAACCGCCTATTCCAGCGTCGCCAAGACCAACGTCCAAGACACCAAATGACTCGTTACGACGTGACT